TAGACCAAATTAAACCGGCTTCGCATTGAGGCGTAGCATTCGCAGCGTCTACGTATCAACGAGAGAGGATTTTGAAGGGGAAGTAGCGGGAGTATCGAAGATGAAGCGAGCGAGAGACGAGAAGAGAAGAAAGGGCGAGGGAAGGATAAGGGAGAGGGAAAGAGAAGGATGATTAGAGTTCAGTTTCCCCCCTGCTAAGAGGGTTTGCTTGTATCCCTCGAGATGCGCATACGTCATCCGATTAAAATTAGTAATTAGCTAATTAACTTAAGCACGCAGCACTCCGGGCTAAGTAAGTTGACCGCCTGATTATGATGCATCGCTTCCGAGTTCGAATATTCGCGCGCGCCGTTCGCGCTACGTTCGTGCTATATCGCGAAGAAGAGAAGAGGGGGAGGGGAGAGAAGACGAGAGAGGACCCGGCGGAAATAAGAAAATGGGAAAAAGTAAGCCGAGGGTGGATGGAGAGCGCAACGTTCCCGGCGAGAATTGTTCCCGGCGATTTATTTCTCGAGTTACCAACGACACGCTTATCGCGGTCGCCTCGACGGCTTTCTTAAAAGCAAAGTTCCCCATTCCCTCTGTCGAACGAGCTTGTAACGTGAATCAGAAATTCATTCGCGTAATTGCCCTTCCCGCTATATATCTCGTGCTCGTGAAGAGGACATAAGATTCGCGACGAATCTTTCATATAAATTATTCTTCAACATTCGATTAACCGATCTGTGAATAATAAAACCTACGATACACGCCAAAAGATCAATTCATTTTACATCTGACCGATGGAATCATCGTCGCGTATATCGTATATCCCGTATCTCGGCCTGCAAATTCCACTTTAGCCGTACGTTCGCGCGAAGGCCAGTGACGTGAGTGGAAAATTGATATATGCACGGAGTGATATCTGGTGGAAAAGTGTATCCGTATCGTGGTATCCGAAGTAGCATGGGCGAAGGGACGCGCGTCGTCGAGAGTGATTCAGAAGTGCTTTCCCGTGTTCCTTAACTAACCGTTCGTCGGCCCTGTGGACGCATCGCGTCGCGACGACCGTACTCGCCCCAAGTAGGATCGCGACAAGGACCAGGCTAAAGGTCTCTCCTCTCTCTCTCGCTCTCTCTTTCCCTTCCCAATTCTTGCAACTGTTCCTCCTTCGACACTCGCCTTCTCGATTCCATCGCCTTTACGAATCTTCTTCGTCGTCCGCTCTTCGCGCTTCCATTAATCATGAATAATCGTTTCGACTGTTTGTTGCATTACGTTTACGCTTCAACCAGAATTGATTCGTTCTACCGTGTATATATAATTTCACGTGGCACGTACAAACGAATGGTAAAATTGGAGTTTATTTAAATTTGGAGTGATATATTAATTATCTTTTTATCGGTAAATAAAGTTTATTATTTAACGTTAATAATGTTTTTTTAATTGTTTAAAAAAACAGGATATTAATTTTGCGTGAGAAATTTCGATATAAATGTGTTTCGATACTCTATTATTTTCGTATCACGACATTTCCGGAGGATAGAATTTCCTAATGCTAATTTACTTTTCACGACTTTCGAAAGGAGCGAGTTAGAATCCTTGGAGACAGATTCGCGGTTTCATCCCCTAAGTGACAGTAATGTGGCCAGGATTGCGGCCATTGGAAAGCCTCGAAAGTAATATATCATCGTTAAAGGACTGTAAAAGATGCGTCGACGCCTTTCTTTCTCTTTCTTTCCCTTCTATCACCGCCACTCGGATAAACATTTATTTTCCCAAAACCAAGAATTTTTCCGAGATCGAAAGCGAGCTCTTTGTTCTAGAATCTCGTACAACGATAATTGATTCAAACTGACTTGAAATATAGTTCGAACATCTTATTATAACACGTGATACGGTTGAAACGAAATCTTTGAATACATACGTCGGTAAGATTCCCGATTGAAAATTTACGTCGCTCTGACGCGTAATAGGACCCGTATGTGTAATTTGCCGCAGGACCAACGGTTGTATCTCGATTAGAATTTCTTTGTACCCTCATACACGATGTGCGCACCCCTTCTCCCTCTCTCTCTCTCTCTCTGTCTACGTCTTTCGAGTGAAATTCTCGCGGACCGATGCGGGCTTCTACGAGACAAGGTTGCCGGATTCGTTTTAACAAACTGTTATTAACATTAAATCCAACTAAAGCCATTAAAGGAGCCCACATTTCGGGGCTATCGGGAAAAATTTCACAATCCCGTCGTAGCTTTCTAACGAATCCAATACTTTTCTCTGTCTCGGTCTCCTTAGTGCTCGATAAAGTAACTCGGTCGAGGGAAAAATGAGCGGCGAATAAATAAACGTTCTTTCTTTTGATATCGATCGATCGAACGATCGAAGATGATGGAACGGAGAGAAGAAGGCGTTGCGCCGGGCCAAGATTCACGATTGTTCGCGAGCTCGTCCATTTTCACGATCACGCCACGGTCACGAACTTCAAACTCTGTTCGATTGGTCGGTTGGCATTATAGCTGGCTATAATTAGTGTACGAAACTGAGAAGGGGGAGAGGCAGAAGGGGTGAACCAGCATACGTGTAATGCTCACGTTAATTACCTGACATGTTTAGCATGCATTACATCCACGTATACGCGGTAGGAGCGCCGGCCCATCCTGACTGACTACCTGCTCGCCTGTTACGCTCTATCTACGTGTATTCACAGCCGAACCATGCGCACGCCGCCATATAATGAGCGAAACGAGGAAATTTTCGCTAAGTTTCTGCCACGAAATTGAAAGGAACCTATCGACTGATATTAAGGAGATCGCATATCGCGTGTTATTGTTTACACGATCTCTTATACGCTGCCTATTTCTCGTGAATCGTTACTCTTCTTATAATCTGTACAGTATTTATTATTACGAGTTGCGATAAATTGTTACACTTAGTTCGCTAGCAATATTGACTATCATAAGATGGAAAGTTTCGTCGTCATAAAGTTTCTATCTTTCTTGCACGTTTATCTGGACCGTCAATATCGCGCAAAAAGTTTAAGCAGATGTGTTTACAATCGTGCGAATCACTCGCGACCTTTCGAATTTTGATGAAAGAAAAGGTTTGAATTACGTTTTCGACGAATAAAATTATCGCGCAAATTCTGATCTTGTTTTATAATTGAGGAAAATTGTACGGATGCGCAGAGTGCATGATAAAGATTTCATCGAGAATCGTTGTGTCGTGACGATCAATCGCAAAAAAAGAAGGGACGCATATGTAACCGAAAGAACAATTAATGCCACACGGAAGGTAAATGGACGGTGAAGAGTATAGTGGACACGAGCGGCCGTTACGATCAGCTATCCGAAATAATGCATAGAACGTAGAGTGCACGTAACGGAATAACAATTTCCTACTGCATTAATTAGAGGTCGACGAGGCGTGAAATCGAGGTTTACGAAGCGTCAACTAGTTTTACACATCGCGACGGAATAATAACGTCGCGACACGACTAGAATCCCGAATACATTACCTATGGTAGCGCGACCGCGACCTCTGCTGGATCGCTGAAAACCAAGGGATCGAGGG